GGTGATAATTCTTATGGCTCTCTTTAGCAAAATAAAAACAGATTTTTTAGGAGCTGAGATTAAATGTGTAACTTGAGGYTCTACCTTATGATGTTCTATCTGATGATCCTCACCTGCATTAAAAGTCTTCTTTCAGGTGACAGCCACCAATCACAAAGAGCCAGAAGCTCCACCCGGTCGATGCTGCCCAACAGAATCATTGACTCTATGAAAAAGGAAGAAGTGGCACACAAACGATTATATTTTTCTACATTTTATTGGTAATTTTAAGAATACATGATAAAAAAAAATGTCTGCGTTGTAATTTTTGTTAGTAAAACCTTTGTACCTTTTGAGTCGACCAATGGAATCGTCTTTAGTGAAGAAGAGTCCAGCAGGTGTTTGACTTCTCTGTATGTCGACTTGGAGGATATAAACTTCACGTTTCTCACCATAATGTCTTCCACAAAGATGTTGTACTGGCTGCGGAAGAGAATCATAAATGTAACAGACTGAGCTAAACAGCAGCTAAAAGCTAAAACGTCGCCTGCAGCCGGGATTAAACACGAACCTCATGTGTCCGAAGCCAAGCTCTGGCAGGTACGGCAGCTTTTTGACCTGGATGATGGAGTCATAGAGGGACGGCTGCAGGCCCTGGGCCACCATGTTGGCCAGGATTACTGCCACCATCATGGGCAGGATGTGGGAGATCTGTCCTGTCARCTCGAAGCAGATAACAGCCGTGGACACTGTGTGAGTTACAGCGCCGGTTAGCGCCGCCGCTCCTGTCAGAGACACGGTGAGGGAGAGGCGGGGATGACACGGCTACAAAAATATGGCAACAAAAGTTTGACCATGTAAAACAAACAGAACTCAGGTGTGGATAACTGTGACTGGTGGCATAGGAGGGAGGAGAAAAAGAGAAAAGAGGAACATTTTAATAAAGATTCGGGGAAAAGATGAGCAAATAGACAAATGACAAAACAGATCAAGACAAAAAGTAATGAAAAGAGAAAAGATGATGACAGTGATGAGGAGAAAATAAAGAGTTACTGATTGTGGAAGAAGACAAACTCTAAAACCTAGTGGGTGCTGTTTGTAAAGTTACACAGTCAAAAATTAACACCAATACTTTTGTTTTATTTAGCCTTTTATAAGAAAAAAAGAACAAATTAATTTTTCAAAGTCAGTTTTTCACCATACGATTCATACATTTATAAAAGTCATAGTTTATAAACTA